CTCTCTCTCTCTCTCTCTCTCTCTCTCTCTCTCTCTCTCTCTCTCTCTCTCTCTCTCTCTTTGGATCAATTGGCCTACGAGCTTTTGCCTGAAACGCTTCCACAAAGCTTCTCTCTTGTTCTTTGTTTTTTATGCTACGATTTGCGTGTGATAGAGATGCTTGCGCACACCTGCTCACATTCCTCTCGGAAATGTTTCACCAGCAACGAGACGCGCGTACCTGTTCGAATTGCTCGATTTACACCCAAATACATCGCGCAAGATTTGCGTGCGTTGAGATAAACGTGAGAAATATTTTCACGTATAGTTGACCAATGAACAGATACTATTTACACTGAAATATTTCGGTACTTACAAGACGTATTAATTTCACTGCACTTAGTAAATAAATCTTTTGCGCATTTCCAAATATAATAACAACTACACTACTATTTTTTTTCTAATGTTTCCTCTAAAAGAAATCTTATTGATCTCATTTTTCATAACTATTTTTAACGTGTATAAAAAAATAAATAATTTGCGCTGAACAATATATCGCGATAGCTTGAAAATTGAAAATTACACATATGAAAAATGGAAAGAAACGAAAAATAGGAACTATAATAAGCCAAAAGGAATAAGAATTTGGAGACGAATTCTCGTAAATGTGTTCGCGTGGGAGTTGTTGATCAGTTAATCATACACGAAGATTTGTTAGCGCGGCAATTACACGTCACAATGTAACCGCAGTGCGCCTGAAGAGTTGCCAGAAATGCGAACGATGACAACTTCTGTTCCATATGATATCTCTGCAGAATATTTCAAGGTCTTTCATATTCACTAGAGCATTTGCGCGCGTTTACCGCAAGATTAATTACCTATCATATATTTTGAATTTTCAAATGTTACACGTACTATTAACAATATGATGCAATCGAATCGGTACATAAATTATCTTTCATGGCTATTTGCACAATAAAATCACATCAATCAAATCGTTCGATTCTTTATTTGTGACTTCAATTAAAGCACAATTGACGATAAAATTTCTAAAATAAATATACGATGGAATAAGCCGAGAAACGTGCCACGCACATTGAATATCATTATCTTCATAACGACACGATGTGAATAGCAGGAAAAGTCTTCGCGCACACGTCATCGAAGAGGATAACAATGCCTCACCTCGGGTCAAACTCTCTCTCTCTTGTCATGGAACCGTGACATCTTATTAGATTTGTAAAATTCCGAACTTTATTTCTAAAATTCATTGTTTAACTTTTTACAATTTATTTTACGCCTGCTGATAAGAACTTCCCTAATAATTATTATAAAATTGGTTGCCAGCATCATATTTTGCTGATTATTAGCGAATTCGATTAGACGCACTCAATGCGCACCGGTGCGTATTAAAGCCGTCACAAATTGCCGTAAAGATATGTTCAATATAAATATAGAAACGGATTAAACCGATTAAACCGTGAAATCCTCAATGCATTTTATTGTGCTGTTAGGTAAAATGTGTATTTTATAATTCGGAATACTTGTATCTCACTTTTACACCCGGATTAAGTCAGTGTACAACGGTTTTATATGATCAATGCGCACTAGTGCATTCAACTGAATTCGCTGTATAATTGAGCGATAAAAGATGAGCAAACAAAATAAGACAAAAAATAAAAATTTAATTATAATTCCTATAAAAAATTGAATCTTATTATATATATTTCGCAATGAATTTAATTCTCTACATTTTTAATTGTGAAACATAAGATTCAAAAGATTCATTTCAGAGATAGTAGAGAGAGTTTCTACATCGTTCTATTCGTTCTGTCATCGTTATTTAAATACGTCATGTTCCATGTCTATGCAAAAAAAGAAGAAATTATCCATAAGTATTAAATTAACATTCATTACTAGAGATTTTTTTATAAAGACGATATGCTAAGATAACGATCGGAAATTTCAAAGGTGCTATTCTATCCGCAATACAACACTGTCCTTATACAGCGTGTAGTGCATGAATTTTATG